TCAGAGGTATCCGCTGCCTTTATCTTTTCAGAGGTATTCTCTGACTATCTAGAAATACGTATAGAAAAATTTACTTTATTTTTTTTTTGTAATAAAATTAGTACTCTATCTCAATACCCAGGCCACAGGTTACTTTTCAGAACTTCTACTTTCATTTTATATTTCTCTATAGACATTATTATTCTTTTTCACTAATTTAAACACTATCTATATGATAATGACACTCCAATTCGAACCTCTAGCCATAACCTCTTTGTATAATGTTTGGTCTGTACGGAGCCACCCACTCAAGATTTCTACTTTAAAATCTGATAGTCATCTCCAAATGAATCTGCTCCCATCCAAACTATTTTTTCCTATCCCAGTCGATGTTATTTGCACCATCTTACCTATCTCAAAAACCAAAATACCCATAAAAGAGCACAAACAAAAATCTAGGATGTATCCTTCATTATCTTCTGCCTCTTTTCCTGCATTTCTAACCTGTTAGTGAGAAATTTGTTTCCTTTCAAAGTACACAAACATTCATTCATCTCTCCCAATCCTATAATAATCCTTGTCTAAGCTGCTACCAATTCCCTGGACACTATAGCACATTTTCTCTACCATTCTTTTCCTTTTCATTCTTGCTCCTTCAAAAAAGAAAGAAAGAAAAAGAAAAGGCAATTATTTTTGGAGCAGTCAGAGTTGTATTTTTAAAATAACATTAACTTACATCCTCCTCTGCTTAGGTTCTTCTAAATGCTAAAGATGAAAATCTCATCACTCCTGCTGGTTTGCAAAGCTGTCCTAACCATTCTGGTCTTGCCCACAATGCTCTTAAATCACATTTTCCCCCATTCTCAGATCAAGCTTAAACCCACTGTAAGACCAATGTACTTGCCAATCCTTTGAAATGCATCTCTGCCCTCATCTAGGTCCTTATCATTCATATCTAAGTTGGTTACCTCTGCCAGTGGTCTTTCCTGACTACCCATCCAGAGCAACCTAAGCACTTTCCAACTCAGAAGGTCACTCATCAATTGGCTCTTTGGTTTTAATTATTTTACTTTTTCCAGATTACTAAACTAAACTCTAAGCCTCATAATGGCTGTAGCTTTGATTACTATCTGGTTATTGTTCTACCTCTGTGTTTAATGTCTGATATGTTGAAAGCATTCAACAAATTTTTAAGGAAATGAAAGAGGAATGAGCATTTTATGAACAAAAGCAATTGAAGGAATAAACTTCTGGAAGTTGACAGTTGAGGGAATCAACTTTTCTAGGAATAGTAACAAGTATCTGTTATTATTATCAATTTTACTGTATTTTCCCCATACAATCCCGTGTTTATTTCTTTTGTTTTAGCAGTCAAAACTAATAAGCTATTTCCTGTCTATTATTATTTGCTTAAAATCTGCCTGCTCATAAAATGTAAGTCTTATTACAGAAGTGATCATTTCTTACTTTGTTGATCACCGAACCCATAATCTAAGTAACTTTAACACAGGCACTCAAAACTTTTGTTGAATAAGTGAAGATATAAAGTATAGTTGAAATTGATTGATTCAACTCCTCCTAATTTGCAGTTAAGAAACAAAAACATTTTACTTAGAATTAATGGGACACCTATGGTGACCAAACACTTTTGATCATGAATCTTATTATATTGATATATTCCTATAACTGACATTCTTCTGTACCTAAAGTAAGTCACCACAAACATTCTGCTTCAGCTTTTGCTTCCTGAAAAATGGAAATTAAAGGAAATAAACAATTTTAAATTATTTTTTTCTTTTTAGAGTAAGCAAATTTGAGAGCTGAAATAATCACCAGCAACTGATTATCACTCAGTGATAAATGAACACAATGGAAAAAGTGAAGATGGGTAGAAGAAAAATATCTGTGAGGAAATTTTTGTGTTGATTAGGATAAGACTTTTTTCATCTTACTGGATTTTTTCAATAAAATCTCTGAAGTCAAGGGAAATTCTCATAAAAAAAAGCAGAAAGTTTTAAAGATCACAGGTCTAAGGAGACATAAATAAAAAGCAGTTGGGGAAATTAAGTTGAATAAAAATGCAATGAGTCATAGTTATACCAATTAATTAAAAAGATTTTAGTATGTATATGAATGGGTTGCCGAAGAATTAAAAATAAATCCAAGACTTTAAGCCAGTGTTTATATTCAACAAAAACACCAAGTGGTATCATGTAGAAACTTTTTAAATTTTTTTAGAATATTCTTTGACGAATTTTTTTCATTCATATATAATACCATCTTTTACCCATTCATCTTAAAAAAGAAAAAATGATAATATACAAAAATCTTCCACTTTGCTCGAAAGTTTGCATTCTTTCTATGCCAATTTCAAAGGCATGCAAGTTTCTTGCAACATCAATTATGAGCCTTTTTCCCCCAGTAGTGTGTCTACTAAAGCAATGAACATTTCAGGAAGCAATGAAGATTAACTTCCTCAGCACCTGCAGCCTGGCAGATGTGAGACAGAACAGGTGAGGTATCCAGACCACAGGCCAGGGAAGCACACAGATGGAGGTTCAATTTTAAACTTATCACTCAGAGAAATGAGAATCTGTGCAAATAAACTTAGCTACTGGAAGGCTCAGTTTCCTCTATTATAAATGCTGTATGAGATAAATATATTTAAAAATTACTTGGTGCAGTGTGTGTCAGGGAATTTTTCAATAAAATGGAAGTATTAATATTATAATGTCATTTCCAATTTGTGGATGCATTTTGATTGCCAAAATTGCTCATTTCCACCAGGAGTTTTTTTTTTTTTTTTTAAAGATTTATTTATTTGTGTATACAGAACTGGGGTACAGGCCAGAGGCTTAGGGGCGGCGAGAGGCTTCACCAGAGACAGAGCGGGGAACAGAACAGGCAGATTTAGGAAGTACACTGCTGAGGGGAGCAGCGGGCAGGTCAGGAGAGGTCTGCCACGCCATGTGGTCACCTCCGGGGCAGGTGGGGATCGAACTTGTGCGGAAGCGGCTTTAGATTCTCAGTGCTGTGCTCTAACCCGCTGCGCCACCAGGGAGGGCCCTCACCAGGAGTTTTTTAAAACCATTGTGAAAACACAGTGGAAAGTAATGTTTCTAACTGTCTCAAACATTCATTTGCTGTAATATCACTTCTGAATAGTACCCTGGTTGGGTTGATAACTTGCTTGGATTATTCCTCAACTTTTAGGAGTTCAGCACTGAAAGTCCCTCATTTGGGAAGGTCTTTGTTCCTAGACAATTCTAGTCATGATTATTCATTTGGAATCATCATTCATTCGTCTATTTTATACAGTACTAGGTAACTTGATAGCTTCTGGAATTCCATAGACAAACTACCCTTTAAAAACAGAGCTTAGGAAAGGAGACATGGAATAAACAAGACCCATAAAGCCCCATGCTAAATCCTAATGACAGGTTTGCCCAGGATGCTAGGGAAACACAGACGAAGGGCACTTAACACAGATGTGTCACTTAGGAAGATTCCTCAAAGGAAGTAGCCGCTGAACTGAAACTGGAATTATGTATGAACCTATACCAGGGACTTCTACTTAATTCTTCTGGTCATTTTTCGTGTTTGAGCTCAGTATTATTAACATTTTCATATTAAAGTACAATTTCTTTAAATTCATTTTAGTGGTGATCTAAGTAGATTTTGAACAACTCCAGATAGGATGGCAATTTGCATGGGATGTCAGCAAAATATGAATATACATGACCACAAATGCTGGCTTTTATAGCAGTTCTTTCCACTCTGGAGATACAGCTAAGTTAAAATCTACTTTAAGAATCTTAATTGCTTGCTTGCTTTTCACAATCTGAAATCCATTGTATAAAGGGAATTATCAGAACATCCAATTGAAAACAAAACAGAGGTTATAAAAATTATATCGTTCTGACCACAGTATTGTACACTAACCCCAAAGTTAGGAACTTTAGACTTCAATAACTTTAAAAGTACTCTTGAAAGTGCCTCTATCATTATAGCAAATGTTGCAGCAAGATGATCAGACAATAAAAAGTGCTGATGCAACATAAAGAGCTGAAAAACTTGGTTCTCCACCAGAGGAAGCTTTTTTAGACTTTGAATATGAGAGGAGACTTATTCCTAGACAAACGCCAAGTTCCAAGGGGGTCAAGGACTATATCTTGAACACAACAAGTGATGCACTAAATAGTTGTTAAGTATACTGAAAAAATTTCCCTCTGTATTTCCAACAAATGACCATTCATTTTCCAAAAAACTCCAAGAATGAATTCTCTTTTTTATACATGAAAATCAGGGCATATCTTCAACATTAATGAATGATGCAGTGTAAGTTTTAAATCCAAATCACATATTCTATTTTGTATAAGTCAATTAGTGTTACTTTATTTCTCAGTCTCAGACTACATGTCTAATCTTGGCTAGTGACTTTTGAGAAATTTATAGAATTTACATTAAAAGTGCCACCTTGGAGGCCTAGGGATTAAATCTCAATTCAATCCCAGCCAGGAGCTGACCCAATATGACACAGCAGACCTCTCCAGAACAGGCAGTAAGTCTGCCTGTTCTGCTCCCTTTTCTGTCACTGGTAAACCCTCTTAATGACATCCCCACAACCCCGGTTCCCCAAACACACCTCTGGCTTATACCTCAAGTCTTCTACAAGCGCACACACACACAAATGTGTGCTTATACATAAGCCATTCCAAGTAAAGATATCTCGTACCAGGTTTTCCATAGAATATAGGCCAAAAGTGATTGATCTGTAGACTCATCTATTAGAATCATCATCTATGTTATATTCCATAGAGATTAAAGGCATAAGTTATAAGATCTTAGTGACTGTGAATGCTCTTACTCTTGGTAATTTTTAAGTAACCAGACATAGGAAAATACTAGAATTCCAACTTTCGAGCATTTTTGCATTTTGGTTTTAAGTTTTTAAACATTATATACTTTTTTATATATACCCAATGGACAGCCTGACACAGCCACAAACTTCAAATTTTTACCTTTGAAGTTTACTACACCAACTGCAGTTGAAGCCGATCTGAGAGGATACACAGGGGCCACAACTGTTAAACTGGAGACACGCTAGAAATGAGGAGAGAACAGGTTCAGTAAGCTGAACTAGCAGTGTGAAGAAAGAAAGACACACAAATCCAAATACCAAAATGATTGTTCAATTAGAGTAAAAAATCACTCACCCACACCCTCATACACTCAGAATCAAGACACCATACATGCCGAGCACATGCTGTAATTATCGGCAAACAGGAAAGATCACCAAACTTCCGAATCATTTTCTTCCACTGTTCACGTGTTCACTTACTAGGCAGCGGGGTCATCTCCACAGCTGAAATGTTGGTAATTTTTGACATCTGTAACTCTACTCGGTGATATTCATAAATTGTTCTTCTTCGAACATCTGCAAAAATAAAAATGGGGAAAAAAATCAACATTCAACATTCAACATTTCTTAACTTTTAAAACAATAGCACCTTGGTAATGAATGCAGAATTATATGCTTTTCATCTGCAGCTTGAAAGTAAAAATTTAAAATAATCAATCCCTATGAAGAGACATAATAAAAACACTGCCAACCATGTGCCCATTTGCCTGGAAGCTTCTATTATTATTATTTTTAATCAATGAAGTTGAAAATGTTGATTTGTATCTCCAGAAAACTCACTTGGCTAATAGAATTACAATCCAAATGCCACCCAGAGTATCTGTTTAAGACATTTTCTTGATGACTGTGACATATTTTAGATGATTGTGATCTAAAAAATCACGTAAGTAAGAAGAAATCATTTCTCCAAAGAAATAAATTTACATAAACCCTTTTGTTAGGCTTTTGCAAAGTGAAAGACTACATTAAATTTTGAAATAAATTTAATAAAAACAAAAAGAGAACTTAAGTGATTTTAAAACATCAGTGATTTTTATTAAATATACTATATCATATCTAAGGAAGGAATAATTAAAACATATGTTGCATGCAGGGATTTATAATTTGTTTGTAAATCCAGCAATGTCCTTGAGAAATAAGTTAGATGGAGACTTTGACAAAAACTTTAATAATTAAAGATATATTTTATAGCAAAACATGGCTGTTAATAAAAGATATTAAGAAGCATTTTTCTAAAATGACCTGCTATTAATCAAATGAGTTTGTCTAGCTTAACTTTTTAACTCTTGGAATGCTTGTAAGGACAGAGTGCCTTGCCTGAGTACTATCACATCTATCAGGAATTATTTGGGAAGCTACTTAAAATATAATATTCACTCTTTGAAAATCAGATGTCAAGGTGATTAATAATTCAAGCTGTTTAACAGTCTGCCTGGTCCACATCCACTTTTGCTAGTAGGTATCTATATCACCCTGGGCTCCTTTTTAGACCTTCTCTACCTCAGTTTCCTCATCTATAAATTGGAGACAATAGCACCTATATCACCAGTTGACAATTAAAATATGAAAAATTTGCTTCGAACAACCCTTTCACATTATAAGTGCCAAGTGTAATTTTTGTAAATGTCAAATGTATTTTTTTTTGTCTAACTTCAATAAGGCAACTGTAGATATTATTGGCTTTATGTTACAAATAATGACCAATAGATCTAATCTCACTGAAATCACATTAAGACCCTGGAATCAAGTTTCTAGGTCTTTGTCTTCATATTATCCTAAAGAAAATTAAATTTTGACTAAAGTCAAACATTTACCTCTTTTAGGATAGTGTGATAAAGAGGTTGCTAGTGAACTGTCCATTAGTATAAGTGTTCAGGAACTGTTAACACCACCACACTCAACAGTTCGGAGACTGGAAGTTGGACATTTATTTTCAGACCTCTACTTTTTCCTATTTACATAATTTCATATGTAAATTATTTACATAATTTCTGATTATTCACCATGAAATTTTAGAATGGGCAGGGGCTTTGCCCAAAATGATGGTTTTGGGAGCCAGGATGACTCCAGAGTCATTCAGAAAGTGTATCTTCAAATTTATCACATTGAAAAATACTATTTAGAAGCTCCAACTAACTTCTCTTTGATATAAGTGGAAGATGCATACATACTTTTTGAAGTGTAGATTTTTTTTCATGAAACATTAGAAAAATGTTGATCTAATGGTATCCATAGGATTTGCTGGGGCATATGAACTCTTTTTTTTTTTTTTAACTTTTAAGGCATATACAAAGATTTCTTGGCATCTGCTTTCGTCTAAATAGGATGTGTTCCTCTATACTTCTTACACATGCATTTACTAAATATTTAGTTTTCGGAAATAAACCACATTACTTTGCCATAATGTCACTGGGATGAGTCTTAGAGTCTTCACACTAACATTTGCATGGTACTTTAAAATAATAGATTCTTTAATTTCACACTACATATTGAAAAACTCAAACTACTAAAGCCCCTCAGAGTTAATAATGCATCATGTATATAGAATAAAGGAGAAGCCATTTTTTGTTTTTGTTTTTTTTTTTACTTCTATCATCTGCTCAGACACCAATTATTGCTAGATACATTTAATAAAATCAACGTTAATGAGGATGATTCTTGTTTGATGAATTTCCAATTTATGACAGCTTCCAAATGGCCACTTCTGTTTTATTTCATAGACACTTCTGTCAAAAAAAAAGTAATCAAGAATGTATTTATGGGTAGTTCCTGCCAATAGTAGCTTTTATTTGATTCCAGAAATGTATTTAGCTCATGTGTCTTTTGTAAAGAACCAGCCAAAATAATACTGAACCAAACATTCAGTCATAGTGGTTGTGATAACAGCTTCAACTGTTTCCTTACAACTTCATAAATCTAAGATCAAATATAATACTCGCCCACTAAGAATTACAAAAATTAAAAAAAAGCAAAACAAAACAAACCTGAGACCCACACAGAGAAAACTTAGGTTAGTAGTCAAATTCTTAAAGTAACATGACTCACAATAGAACTATTGAATTGCATTTCTTTAGAATTCTGAGCAGTATCAGCAGGAGGGACAGAGTGATCATAAGGAAACACTAGGAATTTTCTTCAATCAATATCCATTGTAGCTGAAATTAGTTTAATGAGTACCCCATAGCATTACCTGCCATGATCTAGTTTGTCTTTCTTGAAGTTAAATTCATATACAGAAAGTATGAGTCATTTCCTAATTTGGCAGACTCTTCCATAAATATTTTAATATTTTGTCTGAATTGTCATATAAATGCTTTGTTAAAATTTTTTCATGTAGGTGTTGCCAATGCTGAGTGGGAGACTCAAATAGTTATTTTCTTTTTTAGCTTGAATTGAGTCCACCAGATAGCACTATTTATTGAGTATTCTTTAATGCAAAAAGCATGTATGACACAAGTTTATTCCGGTATGAAGATGCAGAGAAAATGTGCAATATGACAGCAGTGATAAGCTTCTCACTCAAAAATGCAATATATCAGCTACTTGGACTTGTCAAATAAACTACAAGTAGAAGATGGTTAACCTCAAATATTTTCTATTTCCTCTGAAGTTTAATTCTCTTAAATAATTATGTAATTCAGCATTGGGTAATGAAACATAAAATGTTGTTGACCACGAAACAGCATTTTGAACCCGCTATGTTTCACTCTCATCATTTCTTCATTGCTTGAGAAGTTCCACCACACAGATTAAACTTTGGTGGCCAGATTTTACAGTTTCTGAGTGTGGATAAAGGATCTCAGGAACTTGATCGAAAGACATCTTCACTTTCTCCTCTTTCCACATTTAGTTGACTAATAAATAAGATAATGTTTTTACTTCTTTCAGTAATCATTTAGTTGGGAAGGGAATGAGACACAGTGTCTGGACAGCACAGGGTCACTGCTGTGTCATCTGGCTGGTGCTCTGGGACGACCCAGGCCTGATGATTGTCACGGTTCTTCTGGGTCCCTGGATGTTTCCTCAGCGGACACATCTCCCTATACCTGAGACCTAAAGGAAGATTTTGTAATGTGCATTTGCAAAAAAGATTTTTTTTTTGAGAAAAAGGAGTGGTGAATTTATGAAGTTGAAATACTATGTTTTCTTTATTTTAAAATAAAGTTTCTGAAAATTTTGTATATTCACTCACTCAGAGGTTTGACATTTATTGAGAAAAAATCCTATATTTTCAAGGTACTAAATTTCAAATAACAAACTTCATAGGAAAAATTAGCATGTCATTTTTATAAGGGTAAACAACCAGTATTAGCTAAAAGTAGAAATACCCTTCATGTAGTAGGGAAATATAATTAAATTAAAATAAAAATTCTCATTGTGATACAGGAAAAAAAATAGCAAGGAAAATGAGTCAAGGGAAGGTAAATATAAAGGAGAAAAGTAGAAAATCTAATATTCTTTGAGATCATAATGTATGGCAAAAAATATAGCCAAAATGATAAAAAAAAAAAAAAACTTGATTCAGATTACTTTTGAAAAAATTTTGGCCACTTTACTCTGTCCTCCATAAGTACAGAGTATTTCCATATAGATTTCAATAGATTTCAGTAATGTTTGCCCTTTAAGATCACCAAATTGATCAAGATTTCAATTCCTCAGTCTCACTGATCACATTTGAAAAGCACTGCAGCCAGGTATGAGGGAACTCATACTGAACATTTCATATTTTGAACATTCATCAGTTTGGGAAGTCCCATAGAATTGTACTTGTGTATTCTATACTTTTAAACTGCACTTGGCATTGTAACATTATAGAAGATTCATAGGTGTATAATTATATTATAAATATACACATACACACTCACAAATGCTTTAACTTCTTCACTAAAAGTCCAAATGTGATCCTTCACTGAACATTTGACTCATCTATTATACCCACCCTCCTTCTCCCTTCCCTGTGGTAACCACTATTTGGTCTTAATAATCTAAACATTTATTTTTTGTTTAGTTAGCTCATTCATTTGTTTTTTGAGGATTAAGTCTTATGATAGTTTGCACAGTAATAAGAACAATCTGTGTGTTAGAATTATTTTTTTTTTACTTTTCCAGTATAATTTTGGTCAATTTCTTACAAAAGTTGCCACCTGATAGCTAAGCTTATCAAGAAACCCTGTACAGCAGTCTGTGCTCAATGTTTCTCCAAGAGTTCACTAATCCTCTAAGCATTTTAAAAATATATTTGCTCCCAAACTGAGCTGTCAGCTTTATTTTTGAGAATGCTGTTTCTTATTGAGCTGTGAATAATAATAACTAACCAAGCAAAGGCACATTACAGCACAATGTCAATAAACTTAAAACAGCAGATGTTGACAAGAAAAGGACTGATGTTAAGAAAGTGCCAGATAATATACAGCTGGTCGAAAGAATAAAACTGGAGTCTAAGGGATTAAAAAACATTATTATAACTTGTAACTGCTTCAAGTCAGTCAGCTGTTTTCCAAATAGTCTCTATTAATGAAATTTTTCATGCATGTCTTAAAGTAACTGTCACATTACAAAGTGGCTCAACCTTAAGTTTCCAACTAAAAGAACCACGAGAGTAAGTGAACTTTTCTGATTTTTTGCTGGAAATGTTATGCTCATTAAGCTCAGAGGATGGAGAAAAGGTGAGGACTGATAGGGAAGGTCAGCACCCTAGAGATTAAGATTGAAAAGCAAAACATTAAATTGGAAGAGAAAGAAATAAACAAGAATAAATAGAGCTGGTGAGATCTGCACAATTACACTGGCAGACCTCTACATTCTGTGAAAGAGAATTTGGAGGAACATAAGCAGAGGCTGAGAAAGAATTACTTGGTAGAGCTATTTAACAAAAGATTATGGAAATTACACATGACCTATGAATTTTAACAATGTTAAAATGTTCTGGTAACCAAAAGACAGATAGAGCAACAATGAAGTATTATGTTCTGTTTAGCAAATTTTCAAAATGTGAAATGTCAATACTCTCTGAAAGCTTTTGTGGTTATTTAATACAATGTTGGTAGGGGGATACACTGGATCAACCTTATAGAAATTAATTAATTTATCAAAGTACATAAAGAACCCTTAAAATTCATTGCTGGCATATTTAAGAAATACATATGTGCAAAAAATTAAAAACAAGGATGTTTAAGCTCACTGATAATAAGAAAAGAACCGATATGACAAACCAGAGCTGAGACTGGTCACATAAATTGTGAAACAAAGGAATCTGTTGTAGTCATTAATGACTATATTTTACACAGGTATTTAGCAATGTAGAAATAGATGCACATATAATGATGGGAAAAACAGGTGGCAAGAATATTTATAGCATAATGCTAATTTTCTTAGAGTGTGTGTACACTACAAGCAAAAGATTGGATGTAGATACATGGAAACATTGGTTGTTAACTCTGTTGCAATTTAAGTATTTTTCTTTGTCATTTACGTTATTCTACAGGTTCTTCTGAATTCAAATTCCCTACACTTGAAATCACGAGCATGTTTTTACACTCATATTTTTGTAATGAATAACCAAAATCTTAGTATGCAGACTTGTTTGTCACATCCATACCTGTAGAGACTGCACTAGCCCTTCTCTGTAGTTCTTTCTGTTTTTAAAATTTTACAAAGTATTTTATGCAAGCCAGAAGATGATGCAGAGACAATATAATGTTGCTGCTGGTCAACACACAACAGAAATAAAATAGGACTTTACAGGAGGTGTTGCACCTTACATGCATTGTATTTTAGATACTAAGATGCTCAATTTGCATAAGATTTAGAACTTAAATAAAATGCACAAGGTCTCTTGACCAGTATTCATATGTAAATATCCGTTGTAATATCTAGAGTTTTAACTCATTTACATAATTTATTTAAAAAAAACAGTGGTTAATGTCATCAGATTTTTTTATTATTTTAAAGGAGCAGGAGCAAAGGAATGATCCTTTTATCTGTAGACTGTTTACTGATTTATTAACAGTGTCTGAATTCTCTTTGATATTTTAAACTATCAGGTCACCTTCGTTTGTGAAACAACGTTTATCTTAATAAACTCCACTTGGAAGTGTTTAAAAACTAAAAAACAAGGTCTTTTTCTGATTATGACTAATGGATATGCAAAAAAATAAATCTTCAAAATAAGTTAAACTTGCATCAAGATTTTGGATGCTTTACTGAACCTTCACCAAATCTGGTAGGAATGAAACTGTGGTTGCACTCAAAAAAATATTGTCAAGTTTGAAACTCACATTCCCACATTGGCATGGCTAGATTAAGGTAAGGATTTAGTTTTATGACTCATATAACCAAAAAAACTAATAGGGACAAAAACTGAATTTGCAAGAAGAAGCTCCTGTGCAATGCACCATAAAAGGAGAAGAAATGAAACCATTCATCATTACAGTAATGATCAGTTTTTACCTAAATTCAGTGAGGAGAAGATAAAAGGGTAACAGAGAAGAATGATTTACATTCCCTATGAGAATGACTCCTAATAATGTGTTGTAAAATAAGAAAACATAATTGTAAAAAGACAAATATCTAAATCCTGACTGTGCAAATAATACAGATACTTCATAACCATCCTATTTCTCAGGAAAAATAATATTTGCATAACTTGTATTACATTCATTTTGGGTTTCCCTAATATTTGGTGGAAAGCTTTTTTTTTTTAAAGCTCAGGACAATGCAACACTTTCCTCTTACAGTGAAGCTCATGTAACAGATACAGTTATACTTCATAAATGCAGGAACAGATTTTTAAGAGATTTACATTTTTCTGATCCCCAAATATTTGTAAATAGGACACATCAATTCTAATTTTCTTGCCAAAATATGGCCCCATCTAATGGCACAGATGGGTGCATCATAACTCAGAACTACTACTCCATCCTGGCAACTTCCTCTGGATTGAACGGTGAGGTACACAAGTTTTATGAATGCCATTTCACCATGCAGTTTGCCTGAGATAAGCTTTTCTGTGGATTTAATGCTTAATTACTTTCGGTGAGTGCTGAGCCCCCAGATTTACAAATAACCTATTCTCAAAATTCATATGAATTTTGCCAATTTGTTCAGGGAAGTTAATATTGGAAAAGATACATTTTCCCAAAATAATGGCTCCTCTATTATAGCATAGAAAAGGATAAAATATTGAATTTGAGTCACCGAAATCTAAGTACCATTTTATCACCTCTAAATCACATCTAATTTTATCACATACATACATACATTGTATCATGGACACAATACTTGAACACTAAAACATGCTTCTCAAAAAAAAAAAAAAAAAAAAAAAAAGGGACCGAGATGCTTTTGGAAGTTGCAAATAAAATTCTCTCGAGGATGAAAAGAACTGTGAAACTAAAAGCAGTTTCCCTTTACTTGTGTAATAATTGACCTAAGTAATGCCTGATTTAATACTTCTGAAATAATGAGTGTGAGAAGTCCTTTTTTCAAGCTGGCGTCAACTCTGTCTCTTCCAAAACTCAGCCTCTTATTTGATGAGTTGTCAGGATGTCTTTCTGATGCCTAGATATATTAATAAGCTTTGCTTTTTTCTCAGTGTGATTTCATTTATAGAAAATGTACCTCGATTCAATAGTTCCCTTGACTATTACCACCCATAAATTCTTGGTTAACAAGGAGATATCTACTACTGTGCTATATTCATTCAGGTTTTTCATCAAGCAGAAATTCCACCTATGAATGTGATTCTTAAAAGTTGTTTCACAAATTATAGCTATATTTCCACTCAATCCATTATTCTGAAAAGTTTAAATACTTTCTATTCCATTGCCTTTTTGTATTTGAGGCATAACATAATTAAACAGAGTTAGCTTATGTCAAGACTAAACAGCTTATATACATGTGATATATGAAGCCTACCATGATAATGAAATTTTTAAAAAGGAAAAGATCTTTGGACAAAGGGAAAGAATGAGGCAATCATGAGGTGCATTTTATAATCACTTTTGCTTTAAGTAAGCATGTCTCATCCTAAAGCAAATAGCTTTGAGTGCTTAGACACAGGTATCCTTAAGGGTAAGGCCTTAGGTTAGAAAGTTTAAAAAGCAGATGCTTCCAAGTGATGGCCATTTACATGATAAAATTATTACAAAGTGCTGTTGTAATTTATTTTTATAGTATGAAAGTAACACACATGTTTTTGTTCTACAAGTATAAATTACCTCAATCTTCCATGTTCCTCTAGATTTCCAGATAGTTTTATCTAAATATGTTAAATAGTAAATGGCACAAACTTTTTTTTGCTGGTAAATGTACTTAACAATTGAAAGTCATAGAATCTGTCACTTTTTTATGTTCTTCTTACAAATGAAATATATCTACAAAACCAAGGTAATGATCCCAGAATTAAAAATTACACACTATAACTTGGCTATTTAATTTCATTTTGTATAAATTATCAGTTCAAAAGTAACAGAGAGATAACAAATAACAATTAGTTAAAAACCAAACAATATGATAACCAACCAGCAATTTGCTTAGTGATTCCATCACTGAGAAACTTCTACCTGCCCCAACTTAATGTCCTTAAATTTATCCCCCTCACCCACTGCCAGGAGGCTCAGACTTTGCAATGACACTTTTACATACTGGGAATTTGTTGGATCCTGTGGACAACGACAAATGCATCAGACAGCCCCACTTTCACTGGGTGATTGGTTGAACTTATCTGTGTGACCAGTACTGGAATCTGGAAAAGACAAAGCAAATTACTGTATGTTAGATTTGCATTTCATTTCAGGTAGAGGCAGGGAATGGGGTCATCTTCATGAAAAGATACAATCAGGTGATGTATTTAAAGGCTTGTAGAGAGAAGCAAACATTAGAAAAAAGACATAATACTTAAAATTATCTCATTTGCTCAATACTGTACAATGGGTTAAAGTGACAGTTTCTGATCCTGCAGATGACTAATGATGAAAATAATAGAGCCTCATTTATTATACATATATGCATGGGATATATGCTTTTAGTGCTCCACATAATTTCAGGAACAGATTCTCCCTATACTCTATTTTTTCCTAAGTAATTTTATTATATAATTATTTTTATAATTAAAAACTTATTTTTATATGTGCTTTTTATGGATATAAGCCCTAGAGAAAAAACAAAACATATGTACTGCTAAATACATATTTTAACAATACCATCATTAAGTACATAATCAAATTTGGCAATTGCTAGTGATATTGAACTTTACTATTTTGATTGAAAATCATATGAAAAATTTAATTATTTGGGTCAACTCAAGGTCACATTTTCTAAATTTGAACCTTAATGTAACCAAAATATGAAATGACAGATTTACAATATTTAGTCTCAAAACATTAGGACAATCAAGATTATATTAGCATAGTCAACTCAAACATGAGAAAATCTTGGAGCTTATTTTCCTAGACTTAGATAATTTCCTTGTAGATATGATGACTATCTGTATTGCCAATTTATGGAAACAAAAATGAGAATGAAAGCATCTTAAGTAAATAAAAGGAAAAGAAACAAAAAAAGAAAAGAATAATGCACCACCAAGAAATATCTGGGCCGGAGAAGCAGATTGTGGGCCATCTGTGGTAATTCATCAAATAATTTATTAGCTCAGACATCCTTGTTTAAACCACAATAAACAGCATAGCAATGAGAAATAGGAAAAATAAGTTAGAGAAAAGATACAAGCGATGGTCCTCTTATTTTTGTTCACTGACATCATGAAATTATAAAGGGCTTTTTGCTGAAACATCAATTAAAAGAAAATTGTAATGTTTCTTAAGTTTGTGGAATTATATCATAAATCAAAGATTATATTTTTCCTTCGTGTACTAAATCAATGCTAATGTTATGGTATTACCAGTTTTTATCAATATGTTTAGTTCTTAACCAGCATTAAGAATAAGCCTGGGGCCCTCCCTGGTGGTTCAGTGGGTTGAGGCACACCACTACAAGCTAAAGCCACTTCGGTAGGAGTTCAGTCACTGGCCTCAGCATGACTCAGCAGACCTCTCCTGACCACCCGCTGCTCCCCTCAGCAGTGAGTTTCAGTACATCTGCCTGTTCTGCTCCTCACTCTGTCTCTGGTGAATCCTCTCGCTGCCCCTTCACCTCTGGTCTGTACCCTAGTTATGTATGCGTAAAAAAAAAAAAAAATTAAAAGAAAAAAAAATAAGACTGGTATTTAAACAAATAGAGTTGAGATTATAATTTCTGTCCCTAAAAACTAATTTACTAAATGAAACTATGATGGATTTATCAAGTGATTACTAAGTTATATTGGGTAACTGTATATGTAATTACTTTTCTTAATGAGCATTATATTATTTCCTAGTTTTATATTCCAAGCTGAGGAGTGTTAATATAATTTAAATGTAACACAGTTAAGTATGCAAGACGGAAAACGTGTACTAAAAAGGCCCAACTGCAGTTTTATTTACTATAGCCTAACAAGACAATGTCAGAAAATCTTTAAAGATTTATTTTCATTTAAAATCAAAAGAATTTTAAAGCAGCATTACTAATAAGACCTGCCTAAGAACAAGCATGAATATTTTGCTACTTGCTTTTCTCACTTGCTTTAATTCTCCAACATGAATGAACACTGTTTTCCTCTTCCAATTGTGAAATATTTTAGCAGATAATGGTGTGGCAAATAATTGTTATATGTCTTTATCTACAAAGGAAGAACTTGAGTTTGTATTAGTATCAGCTGGCAATCCTAACAAATGTTATGATGAGTATATTTGCACAAAAGGTGTTATTTTAGGTCCTGTGACTTGAATCTTGAAGACCTTTGGTGTAGTAGATCTTCCTTCCCTTCAGATTATGTGCTCTCTCTTTATCTCTTTTTCTCATCTCTTCCCTTATCTAACCACCTCTTTGTTTTTTATTCTCTCTCTCTCTCTGTCTTTCTAAAACAAACCTTCTCTCATGTGCATTTGATCTGTAGTAGACTGATTACACTAATGGCCTCAATCTATGGCCTTGTGCCCACACCTTTGGCCTATTCACTTTTCAGTGTTCTTCCATTCTGCCTGTTCACATAAAGGTAATGACAAATGTGAAGCAAAAAGGGGACTTGAAAAATGCCAGTCTATCTCCACCTCTTTTCTTACACCCTCACCATTGCCAGGAGATAGTATGTCACTGTCAGCTGAAGACACGAGATACATGTGGAGAAACTTTTCCTTTCCAGCAGAGGTCATCCTTGACTGGGAAGCCCCTAACAGCTGGTACCTTCTTACCTAGCCAGCCCCTAACCAATCTGCCAGCAAACTTGCTATTTCTGACCTGGGGTAAGAGGATACAAATCCAGATCAGTAGAACCACCAGGCTGATTCATACTTATCTTGTACAAACTAAGAAATAAGAGTTGTTTGATGATGCTACATTCTGGGGTGATTTGCTATACAGTAATACTAATCAATACACTCTCTTTAAAAATTAATCCATTTCTCATTAAAAAATCTAATAACCAAACACAAACTTTTCCATATGTTCTACATAATGAAGTAGTATTCTTTCTCCTAGATTTCTGTAAATCAAATAAATATCTATTTCTAAGTGCAATTAGATTTGAAAGATTGGTATTGTCCAATTAGGAAAAAAAATCTCATTTTTTAAATTCTCTTACATTTCTTTAATCTCTATTTCTTCTCTAGATTCCAAAAAGCAAAACAATTTGCATAAGTAATCTAGATTCAAATTCATTTAGCTTAGGAAAATCCATCCACAACAAAATGAGTAACTTACAAGTGATGTACAACAAAATGAGTAACTTACAAGTGATGAGAATTTTCTGTCACTTAAACAATTCCAGTGTAAATTGGTCAGCCTTCAGAGAAGATGGTTGTTTGACTTTTAAAGACCCTTTCAAAACTTAAATTCAACTAATTTTGCTGACTTATCTTGACCTTTCCAAACTATAGCAAGTAAATTGTTAACAAAGCTTTGCAGCAAAATTTGTAAGAATGAAATATGTAAAAACAGAAGCAGGCAGATGTTATTATCTGCTTACATTTTTAACTTATTGCCACTTTGTTAGACTTATTTATTCTTGGACAGTGATTTTTAAGGACTATGCCTGAAAAACAAACAAACAAACAAAACATCTCTAACAGTACTATTAATGTAATGTGTGGCCACAAGGTAGAAAATCAATTTCTGAAAGAAATGTCTACTAGATATTAATTATCTTCTCAAAAGTGTAACTATATACCACACACATCTGATAAGAGATAATTCATTAAGTATTAATTGAACAAATTCTCTGTTATATTACAGAAGAGAACAAAACAAAGTCTGTACTTCTCATAAAGTTTACATTCTAGAGTGAATACCAATATTCACACAAATCAACATCAAAAAAAATACAGAATAGTAGGAGCTAGTGGTCAGTGTTGGAGGGCACAAAACTTGGTAAAGGCACAGACATGAGTGTGGGCATCTTTATGAGAGGGAGACCATAAACGGTCTCTGTGATAAATGACTTGTCCACAGGTACTTGAAGCCTGCCAGTGACGATATAGGTGCAGCTGTGAGTACATGCAAAAGCCTTAACTGAGTCATTTTTGGGGGATTTTAGGAACTAAGAAGGAGGTAGGTGTGATGGGGAAGGGTTCCAGGGGAACAGGTACGTGGAACAAGCCATGCAATAACTTCGGATTTGATCCCAAATTATAAGGAGAGTGAAAAAAGATGAACTCCAACCAGGCCACCAAGGCTTGTGGTCTTAGTAACAGGAAAAATGGAGTGATGTTTTGCCTGAGGACTACCATGTGGGATACCTGTGGCATTCATTCATACAGTGGGCTATAAGAACGGTATCCCTAGACATGCAGAAAAGAGGAGAATGCAGCACTGAAGATTAGTAGTGAAATGTCCATAAATAGAGAACACTAGGAGATGAAGGGTTGGAAAAGAATGATGACTTTATGGCAATGTGACTAAATACTTTTCTTTAAGATTTCATAGAGTTCACAAATAAGAGCATAGGTTTTCAAAAGCTGTAGTATTTTATCCTGGTGCAATATAAAATGAAAAATTACAAGAAAATTTTGCTTACTTGCATTTTTCCTGAAACCACCCATGTCTTTTATGAAATTATTACATATCAGGTTTTGGGAAAAAAAAAAAAAACTGCTTCTGTCAGTTGAACTGAATATCTACATGTAAAAAAATTCTTAAGAAATGTCGAACAACTCCACACTTTTATATAATTTTCTTTTAGAAACAGGTCTATCTCCACCTGAGGCTGTTTTTACTCTGCCTTCTTAGATTATAATATTTTTGCTTCAAACATGTGTTGGTTGTAAAAGGATCGTTCATCTATTCATTCAGGAATGAGGGTCTGAGAGGTTCCTGTGAGCAAGTTGGGCTACTCTGCAGTTGTCTGTGTCAGTATAAAATGAGAGATCTTTAAGATGACTTATGCATAATCCTAAAAGTCAAACTTAAAAGGAAATTCTTTTTGACTACTACCACCACAGCAGTTGCATAGGTCTGCATAATCTATCTAGAACTATAGACAATACTCGGCAAAATTAGCCAAGAAGGGGTCTGTCATATTGTCACAATCATCTCCTGTACAGAATAGTCTGTAATTGTAAGGATATGGAATTGCAAAGTCAAAGGAGCCATGGCCAACTATGATATCCAAGTATAAAAAGTCTAAAAACATGGATTTGTGAGGAGCAATTTTAA